ACACACACACACACACACACACACACACACACACACACACACACACACACACACACACACACACACACACACACACACACACACACACACACACACACACACACACACACACACACACACACACACACACACACACACACATTCTTCTTCCTTCTATTAGATGGTTTTTCTCCGACTACTTTGACTGGTAGTGCAGATTGTGCCACATATACCGTAATTGCTCCGAAATAGAGTACGTGTCTGTCTTTAGACAGGTGTGTTTCTGTCGTATAGTAAACCCTTCAAACACGCTATCTCCGTTAAGTCCTTCTTAGCCTCATATACGCACGCTTCAGCGTTTCCAGAAGCTTGTGCATGTAAGAGTCAGTGTGTATTTTGATTGATTTCACAGACTAAGCAAATTTATTGATCTGTTACGTACATAAGACCGCTTGCCATGTCAATCTCCAGTTCTTATCCGCTTAATCACACCTCGTAGCTAACGGACGCCACAGCACAATATACTGTGCTACCCCCATTCTTCTCCTCAACGTGCGGGCCACTTTTGCATGAGTTCCGACCTCGGGACCTCAGCTTATTGTGCTTGAACTGGGTGCTGAAATTATTATAAAAGTATAACGAATGTTAAGAATACGGAGGAGACTGATTGTAAATAGCAGAATCAAAGTGGAAGAGCAGGTGATAGAGGAAGAGGAAGACGAGTTCAGAGTAAGAAGAGGATGTTGAGGAGATACAGTGGAAATTTATTCTTGGAAATTGGGTCCATACCCTGATACAAATGGCATGCCTCATATTCATGTATCATCACTATGCTGAATTTTCCTTTTATTATTTTTGCAATTTTTAGGTTTCTCAAGCACAGATCATGTTTAGTTTTTGCATGCTATAAATAATATTGCACTTAACTACGTTTGCCAAATTATAACCAAGTTAGCTAGACTGTGTGTGTGTGTGTGTGTGTGTGTGTGTGTGTGTGTGTGTGTGTGTGTGTGTGTGTGTGTGTGTGTGTGTGTGTGTGTGTGTGTGTGTGTGTGTGTGTGTGTGTGTGTGTGTGTGTGTGTGTGTGTGTGTGTGTNAGTAGTGTGTGTGTGTGTGTGTGTGTGTGTGTGTGTGTCGGTCGCGTGTGTGTGTGTGTGTGTGTGTGTGTGTGTGTGTGTGTGTGTGTGTGTGCGTTGCGTGTGTGTGTGGTGCGTGTGCGTGTGTGTGTGCGTTGTGTGGGTGCGTGTATGTGTGCGTGAATGATGAAAATCCCAATAATTACATGTGCTGCTAATTAAGACGCATATTACAAATGCTGAAACACTACGTCTTCAACTCTGCATAAATTTCTGAAGCTTCTTACAAACACATATAAATCTTGGAAATTAAGTAGAAATGTGGAAATTATATTCGCTTTATTTTATTTTATTTTTTTTCGTTTGTAGAAAAATAAAACTCTGACTAAATTAATCAAGTACATAAATTTGGCATGTAAGAACATTCTATTTGGTCGTTCACTGAGACAAAGTCTACTTAAGAACGTAAATTTTCTTTTCTATAGTTACGTATTTAATTTGAAACATAATTCGCAATATTAGAATTAACAACACAGATGTTTTAATGGAAAAATTAGTTATCATAGTTTGGCTTTCCAATGTAACGCTATTTTCGCTTGGCGGCGCCACCATACAATTTATATAATCAGGTGTAGTGTCTAGTATGCGTATTCGCTAGACTGCGGTAGGACCATAGCAATTGATATATATNCTCGTCTCTCATCTCTCTCTCTTACTCCTCTCTCATCTCTCTCTCTCTCTCTTTCTCTCCTCTCTTTCTCCTCTCTATCTTTCTCTCTCTCCTCTCTTTCTCCTCTACATCTCTCTCTCGATCTCTATCTCTCTCTCTTCGCCTCGCCCGCTCACACTCACGCGCAAGCCGCGCCGCACGCAAGAGAGAGAGAGAGAGAGAGAGAGATGTTTTTAGCACGTAGAGAGTTGCCCTCTACCGTCACAGGTGTTTTGTGATAAGCACGACCATGGTCGGTGCATGTACGTGCGTGTTCGTGCGTGTGTTTGTGTGTATGTGTGTATGCGTGCACACAGGCACTTGAAGCGTTTCAATAAAATATAATGCTAAATAAATACGAAATCTATTAACTACCAAATTCTTAATGGATCTATACTCTCTTTCACCTATTATATTGCCGACAGTTTCCTGTAAATTCCGTCCAAATTCTATGTGCAACATACGCTGGCGGCCGCCACTCCTCACACGGCAGTGCACTGTGCACACTGACACGTATATAATCATAGTGACATCATATATATAGTGACACTATATATATACGTGTCAGTGTGCACAGTGCAGTCGCGTGAGGAATGGCGGCCGCCAGCGTATGTTGCATAAGGGATTTGGACGGAATTTACAGGAAACTGTCGGCAATAATAGGTGAAAGAGAGTATACAAACATTAAGAATTTGGTAGTAAATAGATTTCGTATTTATTTAGCATTATATTTCATTGAAACGCTTCAAGTGCATGTGTGCGTGCACTTGTGTGGATATGCGTAACTTTATTGAGATATTAATTATTTAATTAAAAAATTATGAATTAATTGATTATATATATATATTTATTTACATATCGTCGTCTTGGAATTCAGAAATTCTCTTTGTGGACGGATAGATGGACGGATGGATGGACGGACGGATGGATGGGCGGACGGATGAATGGATGGACGGGCGGACGGATGGATGGATGGACGGACGGATGGATGGACGGATGGATGGATGGACGGACGGATGGATGGATGGACGGACAGAAGGATGGACGGATGGATGGATGGACGGACGGATGGACGGACGGACGGACAGATGGATGAATGAATGGATTGGATGGATGGATGGGTGGATGGATGGACGGACGGACGGATAGATGGACGGACGGACGGGTGGATGGATGCATGAATGGATAGATGAATGGGTAGATGGGTGGATGGATGGATGGATGGACGGTCGGACGGACGGACGGACAGACTATCGGACGGACAGACGGACGGACGGATAGTCGGTCGGATGGATTGATGGATGGATGGATAGATAGATAGATAGATAGATGGATAGATAGATAGATAGATAGATGAATGGATAGATAGATAGATAGATGGATAGATAGATAGATATAGATATATCTATCTATCTATCCATCTATCTATCTATCTATCTATCTATCTATCTATCTATCTATTTACAGGGTCGGGGGCGTAGCTATAGCCGTGGGGGCACATGGGGCAGTGTCTGTGGTGTGTGTGTATGTGTGCGAGTGTGCGTGCGGGTGCCTATGCGTTGGAGTGCGTGCGTACGTGTGCGGGTGCCCATGCGTTGGCGTGTGTGCGTACGTATGCGCGCGTGCGTCTGCGTGTGAGTGCTTCCGTGTGTTTGTGCGGTACGCATTTTACCTGGCGCCGACAGCGTGAAGTTTTTCCCCGGAATTGACTAACGTTTGTTAAGGTAAATGTTTTTGTAAGAATTATTGTACGTATGCTGTATTGTTACAAGGTTTATGTAAGCATGCAAGCGTTGGCAGAAAATTACCTGAGTGCAACGAGCTGACAAGGAAATGCTGACCTGTGAAGAATATTTAAACGTCTAGCACGCACGCACGCACGCACGCTCGCACACACACACACACACACACACACACACACACACACACACACACACACACACACACACACACACACACACACACACACACAACACACACCTAGCAGCCAGTGACCGGTTGGTCATTTTTGTGATGAAGACTACTTTGCAGAATTCGCATCATAGACTGGTAAAAGTTACGAACGGAGCATAGAGCATGAATCTGTAGTATAGTCATTTAACATGAATAAAATGATGTTGTGTATGCAAAGTAATTACAGTGTGAGTATTTTTAATTAATTTCTGTTCGATGCTTATTCAGGCCTGCTGCCTTATGAGACGCTCTACGTTGTCACCACTTAAATGGATGAGCCACGTATTGCCACGCCCTGTTTTCCGGTTAGGCGCCAATCGGAAATGGGGGGGACGATAAACGTCATTAAACTGCGTGCGGGCATATGGTGCGGGGCAGCTTGACAGCGTGCGTTGTGGATGTGCGCAGTTACAGTGCGCA